TTGTTTTATGTGCTTTTGCATAGGGAAGGGCGCGCGTGTTAGATTACGCGCGCGCAGCTGAGAATGTAACAAAGATGGCCGTCCCTTCGTGAAATCGAAAATCTCCTGTTGACCAGCCTCGACTCCAGGGGCGCGTGCTCGTTCCTTACACTAACCCCTGGCTGTGATGATGACGTAAATGACACTGAATGGCTATTCACAGCGTACTGCGCGGGCATTTCGAAGATTGCACGCCGGGCGCGCCCATAATAATAATAATAACAAAGCATTTGTAAGGCGCACAGTATCTGACAAAAATAGTCATTCAAAGGCGCCGGTCAGTGAAAAGTCAGTGTGTGTGAAGGTAGAGGTCATTATGTGTGAGAAAGAAACTGATTGAAGAGGTGGGTCTTTAGTTGGCGTGTGAAGAGAGATAATTGGTGTATTGCCCTTAACTCGTCTGGAAACGCGTTCCAGAGACGCGGCGCAGAGCTGGAAAATGCACGGTCTCCGTAGGTCGCCAAACGAGTCTTCGGAACAAACAGTATATTGGATGACGACGACCTCAGACCTGATTTCAGTTGACGATGTTGAACCATTTCCTTCAGATACAGTGGGGCTAAGCCATGAAGAGCTTTAAAAGTAAGAAGGAGAACTTTGTAATGGATGCGGTACTGGATTGGTAGCCAATGAAGTTTGCGCAAGATGGGTGTTATGTGGGAAGATGATTTCGTTCTTGTGAGTGTGCGAGCGGCAGAGTTCTGGACAAGTTGGAGACGTTTTATCGTATGTTGTGGTAGACCTACAAGTAGGCTATTGCAAAAATCTAATCTGGATGATATGAAGGCATGGATGAGTTGTTCTGCGGCAGAGAATGTAAGTGAGTTTCTTACTGCTGCTATACGTCGTAGATGTATGTAAGAGGACTGACATATAGAAGAGACATGTCGTTCAAGGTTCATTGACTTGTCAAAAATGACACCAAGATTGCGGGCTTCAGAGCAAGGAGCGATATGTGTATCTCCTATGTGTATGTCAGAGATGTTGACTTTGTGTCTGAGGTGCCGAGAACATATGACAAGGTACTGTGTTTTAGCTGCGTTGAATTTGAGGAGATTGGCTGTCATCCACTGTTGGATGTCTTTCAGGGATGTTTCAAGAATACGGTGTGTAATAGTGTCATCACCAGGAGAACTTGGACAGAAAGTGGCATAGAGTTGTGTGTCATCTGCATAAAAATGAGGGTGTAGGCCATGACGTCTTGCAATGCGCCCTAAAGGAGATATGTATAATGTGAACAGCAGAGGTCCTAATACGGACCCTTGCGGAACCCCATGTCGGAGAACTGACCGATCAGACAACTCTCCTGATATGTTGACAGCCTGAGATCGATCTTGGAGGTATGATCTGAACCATGAAAGTGCAGATCCCTGTACCCCAAAGTGATACTGTAACCTATGTAGCAGGATTTTATGGTCAACGGTGTCGAAGGCTGCTGAGAGATCTAGCAGAACCAGGAGAACAACCCTTTTGTTGTCAACAGCGAGCATTATGTCGTTGTAAACTTTGACAAGTGCTGTCTCAACACTATGAAACATAGTGTACGCTGATTGGAGGTTGTCCCGCAGGATATGTTGAATGAGATGTGCATTCAACCTGGCTGCAACTACTCTCTCAACAACCTTCGACATAAAAGGCAAATTTGAAATTGGACGATAGTTCTTTAGATCATTAGAGTCCAGTGATTTCTTGTTGATGACGGGTGTAATGACAGCTGTCTTGAAGCATGTCGGGAAGTGACCAGTGGCGAGTGACTTGTTGATGATCAGTGTTATAGGGTGAATCAACACGTTGATGTGATCCTTTACCAACGATGTCGGTATTGGGTCAAGAGGGCAGGTCTTCGTCGGTGCACTCTTGACGATTTTCATCACTTCCGTGTCTGATGCAGGTGCTAAGGATAAGATGGGAGATTGGCAAAATTCAAGATCTGCCTGCGCAGGATTAATGCCGGGATCCATTTCTGCTAAGTCATTTCTGATCTTTGAGATCTTGCTGTCGAAAAAGTCAGAAAAATGGGTAGCCATCACATAGGGTGAAGAAAATGATGGGAGTATGGGTGTTGTTTTCTTGTGCAGAAGATGGTTAATGACCTGGAAAAGGGCACGTTGGTCACCATCACAGCCTTGGATTTTCTCTGAGTAGTAATTCGTCTGGTAATACCTGTATTTGGAATTTACCAGATCTCTCTGCGATTGGAACATCTCACGGTGTGTCTGTAACTTGGATTTTCGCCAGCGTCGTTCAAGTTGACGACGCTTGCGTTTGGCCTCTGCGATGTCATTGTTGTACCAAGGAATTTTTGGTTTATCTACAATTTTGCAGGTTTTGGGGGGAGCGTGAGAGTCAAGCAGTTTACAGAGTACAGAGTTGTACTGGTCGACTAAGGTGTCTGGCGTATCTGCAGGGCATGTGATGAGCGGAGATGTGGCAATGTCATCCTTAAATTTAGTGGGGTCTATCGCAGTGATCTTCCGATACGTGATTTTGTGCCTCACATATCTTGGTTTACGCAAGTCGAACCGGCAATGGACAGCACAATGGTCAGACACAAAGTCCGATGTGTCAACAGATTGTACGAGGGTGTCGAACTGTCGCGTGATCACAAAGTCTATTGTGTGACCAGATGTGTCGTGCTCGCGCTCGCGTGCTTAGCTTTGCACTTAACGTCACGTACGGAAAAAAAATTATGATTCAAAAGTCGCGAAGCCTGTACGATATGGATTATGTCAGCCGCGTTTTTCGCTAAAAAAAACCCCTGTATCTGTGGTTGTAAAGGCACGAAAGGGGTACGTACATTTAATTCAAATCTTTGCTAATTAACACAACGTCCAAACGTTGTGTTTGAAAGGATTGATTCTTCAAAATTACAACTTTTAACATTTTAAAGATGGCGTCGGCACGTAAAATGGATAAACTGTAGCCCTAATTATAATGTACCGTATTTTGGTACATTTAAATTACACAATTCCAGGGGTTACGATCGCGCAAGGCATGATGGGAAACAACATGGCGCTGCAAGATCGTACCCACGGGGCACGAGGAGGCGTGGGGGGCGTGGGGGGCCTGGCCTGGAGGAGGCGTGGGGGGGGGGGGGCGTGCGCCCCCTCCATGAAAAATTGTCACCCCCCTCAGTCGCCCCACCGGAAGTTTGGCAATCGGACAAGATCGCGAAACCATTATTAGCGGGTTTAACACAAAGTGCTTTTTTCAACATTAAAAAATTTAGTTTTGGCGAAACCCTTTTTTCGCGAATGGCCGTTTAATTGTTCGTCCCGTGGAACGCGTATAGCGATTCCTATTTTCTGACAATGACCATAAATTTGGTTTAGAACAACGCCCCCATCGAAAGATGCTGTCCAGCCCCACCCCCTTCCCAACTTTTTGATTAACGGAGGCCGGGTGTCCGGTGAAAAAAGTGCCTACCTTTGAGCAAGGATGAACTTGGGCGCCCCTCCACTGTCACATCAAGACCCCCCCCCCCTCCCCCTCCGCACAGGATGAGAACCCTGGCTTCTCATCTGACTCCGGGCGATCGAACGAAATCAAACACCGAAAGGTGTGCAGGCTGCGCTCTGATTGTACTGGACGCAATATTTATGTTAATCAAACAGATTCACGAAGGAAGTCACATGATTCAAAATTGACGGCTGCCATTTTTCATCATGTGACTTGTCATCATGTGACCGAAGAAGATATTTAGAAGGGATGACACCTGAAAGTCCTTTGGGAAGGGTGCCTTATTTGCATAAATCGTTAATACCTGCGTGTAATATATTTATTCCAATATTTAAGTGTATATATATATATATATTTTTAAGGGGTATTTTAGGGATTGTACTTGCATATTCTTACTTGAATAACATTTTCTAAAGCATATAATTGACTGAATAATAATGAGGTCATGTAACGATCCATCATTATGCCCTAAAGTTGCGCGTATTTACCTTGTCTCCAAAAATCATCAAGTAGTGTTGCCAACCTCAGCATTGATGAGCTTCAAATTCACCAAGTTGCTTACTAGTACAGTTACCTTATTAAAACCTTATGCTAAATCATGTGAACAATGATAACATTGTGATATTTAGCCCAGAAACCAAAAAAACCCAACTAGAACAAAACGAGGCGTTCGTAAATTGGGCTAACAAGTAGGTGAAGGGTTGCCTAACGTGCGAAACTTAAACAAGTTCAAGGAAATTCCCAAAATTATTTGCAAGAAATGTTTTGACGTGGACATAATTATTGTAAACAACAATAATCTCTTATTTGTACAAAGACACACGATCCAAGAATTTTTTGCCCTTGCCTCCAAGCTCTTTATTTCTCCCTGTCGGGCGCCTTAATTGTACATCCAATTAATTTATCCATAATCATTATCAACTTACATGTACATCCTAAATCATGATCATGTCCATCCAATCAATTTGTTCATAATCATTAGCAACTTACATCCTAAATCATGATCACAAATTAGATAGCATGTCTCTCATTATAATGCTTGTCAAGCAATAGCTTGTTCTAAACACATATATATATAACTGGTCTCGAACTCAAAGGAGTAAACTGCAAACTTGTAAATTCAAGCAACAAACAGGTCTTTTCCCCCGATCGGGGGCTTATTATATATGAACCCATGCAAAAGTAGTTCCCCGAGTATTACCCTGGTTATTCCCGGGACTGAGAGAGGTTGGGTCAGCCGCCCCATTCGGCGGATGGTTACTCCGCCGAGGCCGAGAGCCCCGTGGTCCCCGGGGTCTCCGGCGTCCCGGGGCACCCCGTGACAAGGCCTGGCGAAGGTCACTGGTCAACTTTCGTGACCACCTGACCAAGCCCTGGCACAGAGGAAAAAACAACCCCAAAAATTGACTCCAACAATTTTTTTTTTTTGGGCCCATTTTTTGATTGTGCGAGGTTACAAGGTACTGAGGTTGCGGCTTCGCTGGACAAGTGCGCCAATTATCTTACAGGAATCCTGCGGACTGCACAGCCAACATGAAATCACCAATGAGTATATCTGAACCGGCATCTGATAGATGGACACCGTCGCGCCTGAAGTACCTGTGTTCGTGAGTGGCGAAACTATGGCTGATAAAGGATGCATTAGCGATCCGCAGTACTCTTCTTTTGGCGTACTTATTCAACGATTTGCGGACATTCTCTATCTTTACTTGTGACGTGCAACGCTCATATCCATAATAAAACAACCTTGGTAATATTGCCGACCAAGTGAGATGCGCCTGTGGAAACATCTCCCTTGAGGATCTAATTGCTGTTTCGATCGCTTGGCGGCATTCTTTGGCAGGACATTTACCCAAGTCGTTCGACCCTAAGTGAATTATAATCATATCTGGGGGCAAACTACGACGCGTTCGTCGTTGGAGCTCGCTCGGAAAGTCCTGGAGAGTTGCTCCGCCTTTTCCCATCCATGTCACTACTGATTGAGACAGTCCCAAATTCTGCTTTCCTGTGGAGCTGGCTCTCTCATTTGCTCTCCGAACGAGACTGTCGCCGACCACCCAGACATTTCCTCTGCAATTAGCTGGAAGGAATACACAGGATTTTTGAGCCAGTTTTGCTATCTTAGTTGTATGCTCTATTTGCGGATGTATTAACGCCGCAGTTGTCGCTGCGCCTATTCGGAATGAGTGCGTCCCGTGCTGTAGTGGGGGGACTCCAGCGTGGTGTAAGACCCTTCTTAGTACCGCCCCGAATTGGTACTGTGTTAATGGCGCCCCATTTGCGTGGCAGAAGAGGGGGCCTTTGGCAGCTGGCCTGCGTACAAGATATTTTTCCATAGCCTGAACAGGGCACATGTTTTCGATACCATTGCCGTGTATCCGCAGCATGACTGCGTATTGATCGTTTATTATTGAAACCCAATTATAGTATTCAAGGAATGATTGCCACATTGTCAAATCCAGGATAGCGCCTTCGCTTAGGGTGATTGGTTGGCCTGTTTCTGAGTTGCTTTTTGTCATGTCCGTGATTCGGCGTAGAAATGCCCTACTTGGTTTTACTGCCCTACATAGAAAATTTAAGAGTCCTACCATGGACTGTATCTCCTTGCGGCAAAACGACCGTCTCGCGAGCACCTTACGTATTTTGTGCTGTGTCTCTACTAGTTTGTCCTTAATAATTCGTACTTGCATTTAGCTGTGAGTCGATTTCTAGGCCCAGAAATGTGAGTTTTGTTGTTGGTCCTTCACCTTTCTCGACTGCAAGGGGGACTCGCAGAAACCGGCACACTGCTTTGAACTCCCGATCCAGTGAAAGGCATGAGATTGTAGCGACCTAACCGGACTTCTTTTGTTACTTTTTCTAGTGCGATTTTTGCATTGATTTCAACCGACTTCAGGTTAGGTAAGTCTACTGGCTGCGGGGTCCTGCGTATTCGAGACTGAAACCCTTAGTGAATCCTGTTTTCAATAATTGCGCTGCTTCTTTATCGGGGTAATTTTCAAGCATGCTTATTAGGTTAGGAACTATTATCGGGGTCGGAGCTAAAGTTGACAGGGATATTGTATTTCGTGGGCAGTCAACGACATCTAACAATTTACTGTTTCGTTTTTGGGACGCGGCTACCTGTAGTGGAGTGAAGTTTTGGACATGTGACTTTCCCATGGTCAGTTGCTCCACATGCAATGCATTTGTGAATGTAGCGGCAGTTGGGCCTGGTACATTTCCCGAGGCCAAAGTTGGCTTCATAGCAGATACCGGCACCGGGAATGTTTGCTGGAATGTTTGCTGCGTTGAGCTAGTGCCCGTAGATCGCAATGGCCCGCCCCCAACTACATGAATTAACCATAGTTCTCCATCGATAGCTGCCCACGGCTTGCTCTGCCCTACCTGCTTCGATCTGAATTCAATATCGTACTCTCGCCACCCATATCCGGAGTATCGCGTCGCCGCTGAGCAAATAGTATGGCAGTACTTTAATATTTCTTGTGCGCACCCTGGGTTAGTGTGCAGGTACATAGCTGCATACACGAGAAACGCATCGGTCCATACTTCTATGGAGTAAATCTTATTTTTCGTCGGTGTGGCGGATTTAAGCTTTAATTGTTGGCCAACTTGGACTAGTTTAAGCTCGTCTAACGCGGGGCTGGGCGCTGTTGCCCCTGGTTTTTTTTACTAGTGTACTGAGGTTTACATATTCCCCCTTCCCTATTTTTTCCTTGATGCTTTGTGATACCGATGCCCCAAAGTATTTCACCTTGGGGTGATAGGGGAGAGGTCCCCAGCGCAGCCGCCGCTTGAGACTTTAGGGGCTCGATCACGGCAGGTATTGCGCTTAGTAGGGCGGTTGGACTCGGAACGAGGGAGGGAAAGGATGCGGCTGGAGAACCAATTTGGGCTGAGGTAGTTTTATGTATGGGGTTTACTGAAGTCGTTTGGAGCTCACCCGGTCTCTGTGTCGTGGCCACTCCTGTTGCCTGCATGTACTGCACCTCCTGTTGCTGAGCTGCTTGTGGAACCGATGAGTATACGACCCCCGGTGCAGTAAGACCTCCAGGCTGTATTTGTAGTGGCTGCTGAAGGGTTGGTGCCTGCTGCTGGCACTACTGTCCACCGATGGCGCTTGGCTGGCTTGGTGGCTGTGATCCGTCAGCCAATAGCTGATGAGCTGAGGGTGCTGGAGCGTCAGTCGGTGTGCTCGTGCCTGGGCCAGTTGCCTGTGTGGCCGGTGTCGCTGTCTTATTTCGAGGTCGACCTCTTTTCGCTTTCGGTGCTTCTTTCGGTTTGGCTGCTTTTCGTTTCCCCATCTCTCCCGTTGACGATGCTGGTATCAGCGCAATTTGACTTGGCCGGTTCCCGTCAATTCAGTCTCCCATAGGCCGCTGAACGAATTCAAGCAATATTCCTCTTCAGAGCAACTACAGCCTTTATTGCAGCGAATATTTTGCAGAGCGATATCGAGAGCCTACGAACAGAGAAACTTCTTGGAACAAGTGGCAGATTGTTTACTAGCGGTTGTTCACCCGCTTGTCACGTGGCAATTGTGCGCTAGCCAGCGCACGTTCCCACGCTGAGCGCTAGAGATCACAAAGAGCGCGCGTTCCAAAATTGCTACATTTCCAGACAGGCGCACCTGTGTCTTTCCCATTGTATACAATTCCAGACGTACTCACATTGATACAATTTTGGTTTGGTTGTTTTGGTTTTATCGTGGCTTGTACAAATAGGTTTATGCCTTTACTTGCACAAACATCTTTGGGTGTATTTTCTTGAACTTGTTCAAGTTCCTTCTGTCCCCTGATTGCCGTTGAATAAACATTTCTCCTAATAATCCTTCTACGCTTCCCAGATCTTTTAAAGGCGAATTTATCGTTTCCTCTGGTAGTGACATTAATAATATAAAGTGTACAAATCTCTGATGAATGTTATTGGAAATATAGTGTATGATATCATTATTACTTTACGAACATGGGTTTTTAATTTTACGCTCATAAATGCAGCAATTGTTGCGCAGAAGTATTTGCTTTATATTTTCAAGTTAGCCCCTACCCAACCTTGAAAAATGACCAGTAAATACTTAAAATCTGAAGCATTTACTCCTTTTCAAATAAAGCAAACACGTTTAATGTAGCAAAAGCTTAAAAAAAAGTAAATCCTTTCAGTTTTAGCAACTAATTTCAAGTAAAAGCATTTGTTTCATTTTTATTCATAAAGATGCGAGTAAATGTTTTTTGAAGTAGCAAAACAAATGCTTGTTCATACGAACTATTGTCTGGCAGCCAAAAATTCGTTCGATTTGTCTGAAGAAATAATTTAATAACAAAGGGCCAATATTATTCCCGATGCTCTCGACTGAGAACAACGTAATAAACTCTGTCCCGTCCCATCTATTCTAACTCCATTTTATCAAAGTATTACAATTTTAATAATTCATGCAGCGTCATACTACTTATATTCTGCAGCTCTTTCAATTTGCCACTTTTGTAATAAACACACATTTCACAACATTTGCTGTTGCAAACTTGAAGTTTCCCATACGTCTCCTTTCTTGGACTGGAATGAATACAATTCTATTTTAATAATGTTGATAATACCGCACTCTACAACCAGCTAGCCCTATTGAACTCTAAATCTATACCATGGCCTCACCCACTGCTCAATATTCTACGTTTAACATTACCCTCCAATACTCTATTGTAATCTAATAACGTGCCAATCTATGCCAATCATGAGATTACATTTAGACATTTATTTATTTATTATTTATTTCGTGTTATTTTACCAGGCTAGCCCCATCAGTTGTCATATGAACTGTTCTCCCTGGGGGCCCTGGAATACAGGTAATGAGTGCATACAAACAAAGATGCAGGAACAATCAGCATGCAAAACTCTCCTAGCGGTCGCCTGTCGATGACATTACATGGCCAACGGTCTATTAAGAATTGTTTTCCATAAACTCAAGAGGCTTTCAACTCCTTACAAGGCTGGTGAATACCTGGCTAACAACCAGTTTACATACGTACAATAGGGCTGTTGGTCATGTCAGTGAAGGACGAAAGTATCTTGGAGTATGACAGACAGTGAAAAGAACAGTTGAAGCACTCATTGGACGCATCGGAAGTATTTGAGAGCAACCAGCGGGATCACAAGGGCAAACTGCACACAGCCTAAGAAAACGAATGCAGCGTTGTAACTTCCAGATGTGTCATAAATCCAACCTGGGAAAACACAGAGCAAATAAGAACATGAGTAACTGTCTATCGGTAGGAAAGAGAGTGAATGGAAAAGTGTTAAATGGTCACTGAGGTTTTATAGATAGGAAAACTACTTCCTGAAAACGTGCACTGACGGTTTTTTGTCTCTAGGCTTTTGTACACAAAATAAAAGCAGCGATCGAAGAGTAAATCTTGGGGAATCTTGATAACTAAATGATTCAGTTAAGTTACTCTTGGAAAAGACTTGATATTTTGGAACACATTTTAAATCCTATGAATGGGGTGGTCCCAACTATACTTGTGACAATATTGATTGTTATCGTTTGGATATGACAGACTATCTTTAAACCTCAAGGTGCAAAGGTTCATCGACAGCATTTGTTTATTTATTTACCAGGAATGAAGCCTAAGGTGAACCTGTAGCGTTTTCTTCCATATAGTTATAGCTTAATTTGTGAACTTTTAACCCCTCGTACATTGCCCCCAGCAACAGTCCAGCAACAGTAAAAGTTATGACCCTATGGTATCAATCTCCCTAATTGATTGATTACTATTACTGAGCCAAGCCCCACTTTTATTACTTTGTCCCTCTTACCACATTTTATCACCTAGCCACAAAGTCCATTAGTACATTCCTTTGGTCTCTAGTTTTTATTGCTTTTAAATTGGATAGTCAGCCCCACCTTACTTATTAGATTCTTCACTCACTCTCCTTTATTACTTTCTTCGCTCACTCTTCTTTCAACCATCAAACGAGACACATGTCTCCGAATTCTCTCTTGTAATTACGGTAGTCTAGTTGTTCGATTGTTAGAATAAAGTCGCTGTACGACCAACATCGTGTGTAATCCATTATTCAATCAACCAAAAACCCCAAAAACCTTATCACAGTAGCTTTGATTTCCATCCATCCATAGGCATCAGCCAGTAACTCTACTCCAAGTACCTGCTTGGTGAGAATATCATGCAGACAGGACAGGAGACCATCGCAAATGACCACCAGCGATGCCGTCAACATCATTGTCCAATACCCGGCCAGTCAAGGCGTTACAAAGAACGCACACGAGCTAACGATGCTGCATATGACCATTAGGCTCCAGCAGGGTAGTATCCCTGCGTCTATGATGAAGCCCTGCAACAGGTTCGCTAGCAGGTTCCCCACGCCCGCTACGGTG